TACATCAGTAAGTGATTATAGTCTCCTCTTACTGAATATATTAGCAAAGATGATGTTAGTACCAGGAGTTGAACAATTAGTGGGTAGACAACACTTGTACCAGCCTTCTTGAGCTACTGGTAGTCCCTGAGCAAGATAAAGATTGATAGTAGCATCAGGTGAAGTGACAGAAGTACAACGAAAAGGATCACTGGCACTATTACTGTTACAGTCAACAGGATCATCAGGATCAGCAACTCTAACCCACTGACCAGTAGTTAGACTAGTACCAGGTAACACACATGATATAGCTTCATTAACTGCATTGACAATATTATCCCAAAAATATGATCCATTAGTATAACAGTTTCCATTATGCATCAGGTAGATACCTATAAAAACCTATACAGTTGTTATTATACACATCCAGTGTCTTACCTGAGGAAGGTGGACATTGACTAATAACTTCACTGACACTCAACAAGAAGACAAAAGACAAGACTAAAAGCATCTTAAAAGATGACTATGCAGCAAAGGGGTGTGTGTGTGTGCCTACATTGTTTTGATAACACTTGACTATGATAATTCATTTTCAATTTTGTCTAGTTTAGACTATATATTAGCAGCTTGAAGAATTGTATCTAAAAACTTAGCAAGCAACATGAAACTATTATTAACTGATAAAATTTAGTTACAAGTAGCAATTAGTACCAAAATTATTCTCAGCCAAAACTGCACCTATGAAATTTTTGATGGTGGCTATAATGCATAGTCTTGGGACAACGTAATTTATTTATGGTAGATCTATGCATTAAGAATATGCAATAAGAAAAATTATAAAAAATACCAAAACTTTCTTCTTATAATATGTGGGGGCTTGTCTCTGCTAACAGATGGACTGACAGAAAAGCATCTGTAGTCTGTAAACAATTGAACTATAACGCATCAAGTAAGTTATCATTTCTGAATATAAATTAATTCTTGTAGAAGGTGTTGCTGTTAATGGTTCACGTTATGAAGCATCAAGAAGAACCATACAACTTACTGATGTTGACTGCAATAGAAATGAGGAGAAACTGGATCAGTGTCATAAGAGGCTATTGACACCAGCAGAAGGAGCAGCTTTGACTGGTAGAGTGTCTGTAGCTGGAGTCAAATGTGTAATGCATGTAAGTGGAACATCTCAAGTGGCCTCAAATATTGGCTGTACAATGATATACGTTGGAGTTAATATCATCATTGTCATCCTTATACTCATCAATGCAAGGTATTTTTATGAAATAAAATAATTTTAAAATTTTATCCTCTATTATAATAGTGCAATTATATGTATTATGAGGAAGAAATACAAGAGTACAGCTTCAGTTCAAGTGACAGGAGCCCCACCACCTGCTATGGATCTATCTAAAATATCATATGATGGTAAAATTA